CGTTCTCCCAACGTGAAAGGTGCTATACAAATGTAATTTGGTGTTGCCATTGTCACTATGAACCTTAGCAACGTAGACGTATTGATGTTTTGCAGCAAACCTGTAATTTGAAGAAACAGTCGTTAACTTGCTGAATGACAATGAAAACCAAAGCAACATATTTCTCTAACTTTTTAAGAACTGACATGTCCACACTCTCTTCAGTTTAATCAACAGCTCTTTTGTTCTCAGTTTTGGTGCTCTCTCCTTAGAGCAGACAAGTCAATTGAAACTGGTCAGTAAGAGAACATCTTATAAATAGACCAGGAGAAATTCAGCCTTATCAAAATTAACTCTTTAAGAAATTTGTTTCTTAGCATTTCAGAAAAAACAGAATTCTGAAATCCAATCTAAGTTTTACAGACATGTTTTGCCCACAGTCTTTAAGATGGGACTTGAAACATAATGGGGAAAGCAAGAAGTCAAGAAAGAGATGATATAGTAATAATCTTAGCATTTTGATATTTAGGAGTCTTGGTATCGAGTGATGCTACTAGTTCGATAGTGTTGCTTATCCTCATGTGTTTGATTTTTTGGCTATTCATTCCTAAATCTTGGATATGTGAGGCATTAATTAAGCAGTTCTGGTGTACAGAAGGAAGTTAGGGGGGGCTAAAACACTTAATGCTGAGATAAATCATCGTGAATTAAATAATCCTTGCATTTGATATATGCTGCCTTTGACGTCGAAAGGACTGTGAGTTCACAGCCTTCTGACTCAGAGGCAAGAGTCATACCAGCTGAGCCAGGCTGGCATTGGGTCAAAAAAAACACTGTTGATATAGAGCATGGCATTTTAATTACAATTTTCTGGTTTAAAACGGAATAGATAATTTGGGCATTATAATCCTTGTATTTTTTGATATAGCGCTTTATCACGTCTTTGAGACGTCTCAAAGCGCTTCACAGAATATAGTAATAATAAACCTTAACGTCTAATGTTTTACAGAGCATCATACGTGCGTGTGTTAGATACGCCAATGTCTTACTTTCTACCAGCAATTCATATTTATTTAATTTGCAATGTTATTGGTTTCCTATCTACAATGGATGTCTCCATTGTGGGGAAGTCACTGATCATTACTGTGTATCTTCCTATACTCACCGGCGTCTTGGGACACCGTCCTGGAGTGAAAGGTGCTATCGTGCTGTAGTGATGCAAGTTGTTGTATATATTGTTTCTTGACTGTTTGATGTTTGTTGTTTCACAGTATTAATAAATTCACTGTTCCAGTTTGTGATATATTGAATGAAGATGATAATGATAGATATGCAAAAGCAATTAATTGCCATCATTTAAGTGAAAATGTGCTTTGATACATTTACATTGTTGCAAGTTAAACAAAAAAAAGTGTTCTGGGGATTAACTGTCGACTATTTAAAACCTGGTTGATTCCTTTTTATTATTTAACATTTTGCAAATGAACTTTTGAAGGGATGTGGGGAGGTTGCAAAGGAAAGCACTTGAACTTGTCTTCAAATATATAGAAATGTAGAGTTCTTTAATGCTTAAATAGCCGTGATTGATACAGTGAATGTGTGACCCCTAGTAGTGTGATAAATGGATCAATTTTACAGAGAACTACTGAACATGCATTTGGAGAAGACACTCTTTTGCTTAAGACTACTTGGGAAAAGGAATAAAGGAATTGGATAGCTTCTTCAATCACTGTCACTGAACATGCTTCAGATAGGAACATGGAGGATCCGTGTGGCCCCTGAGCTCTCAACTTGTCACGTTTTAAGGAGGAGTTAGTGGAAATCTTTAACACATTTTGACAGCTGGAGGTATGGCAAAGATCGTGGTGCTGAGACAGGAAGCACAGAATAATTTGAGGAAATGGAACACTTGACAAAGGAGAATTGGACTGTTCTGAAACACGGCATTTCCTTAATAGAAATGATCTTGAAATTCTGATCCCAAGGGGATTTAGCTGTCAAGAAAGATATTAGGGAACATAAGCTCCTTTGTGGAACGCAAAGTTTAAGTCGAAACCTCATCTTGCTATAATGCATTAAATGGAGTAGATAAGGTAAACGCAGAAGCTATAAAAATAGGACCAGAGGACATACAGTAAATGGAAATAAGTGGAAAAAGTAACTTTAAGACAGATAGAAATCGGTCGCCTGCAAAAAAAAGTCACTACACTTTACAGTAAAAATCCAGTAAACTGTTATGAGATGCCCTCCTGACATCGGATGACAGGATCATTTATTATTGTAAATGGGCTTTACTCCAAAAAAACATGTTTGAAATAACTAACTAAGAAGATAAGAAGGGCAAAAAAAGTGAGATTAGTCAAAAGTAAAAAATTTATGCCATGATGGGAGAGTTAATGCATTGTAGTGAGATTCAGTTGAGCGAATGGTCTTTTCTTATCCTAGCTTTTTTATTCTTCAGTCAAACAATTGACATTTAGTTGGGCATTTCAATGAGACAGAATACAGATAAAATCATTATGAATTTACAAGAGATTATATTCCCTCCAAACACTACATTTTATAGTGATTTGTTTTATGTCTGAAATCCAGCACGAAGACTGCCCCAAGCGTTGTGTATTTGAAGGAGGGAAAAAAATTGTCCCAGTACTAAGTCTGTACTTGATGGACGGAATCAAACAGACTGTCCCAGCACTAAGTCGGGACTTGAAGGAGGGAATCCTGGAAAATCATATTAATGTTGTTAGGATTCAATAGCTATTTATTTAAGATTTTGAATGTGTCTAGAAGAGAGAATTAGAATCAGATCACAAGGTTCTGACTTCCTCTGACTTCCTCCAGTGGTAAAAGCCTTTCCTTCATAGTGTTGAAAGGAAATCACAATCAGCAGGAGTGTAGTATAATCTCCTTTAGCCTACCTGAGTGCAGAAATAGCAAAATGTATGCTTTTGTTTTACTGCTGACAGCTCCTCTAATGTGGGAAACTACCAGCGCCATATCAAGAGGGTAATAGGATACAAATAGATACAGTTGAGTTAAAAATAATAGCTATTGCATTACTGCGCTATTTAAAGTTCACGACTAAATACCTTTTTAATACGGAAGGATTCAAAAGCTCCTTATTGACTTCACAGATTCAGATTATGTATAGATATAAACATACTATGGAGAGTGCTTTGCATGTGACGTCTTTACAATAATTCTCTCCTAACAGATTCTCCTCTCCTGTATGTCACTTGTAGTATATACTTAGACTCTGTCCTTAGTCATCTGCTTTTCCTTATCTATACGATCATTTTTGGTGACCTAATCCATGGGGCATTGGGTCAGATTCCATACATTTGAAGATAGTTACTGCGCATGTCTGTCTGTCTGTCTGTCTGTCTGTCTGTCTGTCTGTCTGTCTGTCTGTCTGTCTGTCTGTCTGTCTGTCTGTCTGTCTGTCTGTCTGTCTGTCTGTCTGTCTGTCTGTCTGTCTGTCTGTCTGTCTTTGTGTGTAGGTGTGTTTGGGTGTGTAGGTGTGTTTGTGTGTGTGTTTGTCTATCAACCTTCTCATTGCCAACTGACTGGCCGAGACTCTGCAACCTCTGCCTTTTGTTCAAACCTGCGTTTCTTCAAACTCTACGTACAGACTTTGACCAAGATTGCCTTCCTCTATCCAGAATACCACGCATCTACATCACGTCTCCCTCCAATACAGCCACAATCCCCCAAGATTAGATTTTATCAATATCACTGGCCTCCATACACACCGGCTCATCCTGAGCTCTCAACTTTATCCTCTCTCTCATTTCAGGCTCTCACTACCCATCATTCAATCTAAGCTCCATAGTTCAACAGAGGATTAACTTCAAGATTCTTGACTTGAATGTCAAATCCTTTCATTCTCTTGCCCCACCCTATCTCTGAATCTTCTCCAGTTTCCTTCTTCTGTAAATATTTTCCACTTTTCCAAGTATAGCTACATATCCCTTATCCCTTCCATTTCGGCCAAGAGTGACCAAACTATCATCCGCAATCTGATTATTACGGACCCCCAAAGCACCGGTTATAAAAGGGTCTGGCTCATGTTCTGCAGGATGCTGCAACTGTTTGACTTTTTATAGAGTAACTAGCCACTAGATGGTGCTAATAGCAGTGGTTGGCTTTGTAGTGTCAGTGGCAAAGTGAGCCTCATATTGGTTGCTGTAGTGTATGCACAAAGCACAGTATTTTCTGCATTTGCTGTTACCAGTATCTGCCTTTTGTTCTTCAGTCTCAAGTTGTTAAGTAAATTTGTGTGTCTTTCTGGCTGATTGTTGTGTTTAAATTGGCTTCTGCATTTACCCACAAAATACACACAGCCACCTTCACATCACTTTATAGTAGAAAGTATATCCTGTGAAACAAACAGCCGTAGAGTGAACGACCAATTTTATTTGGGGATTGTTGGCCCAAGAATGATCGCTGTTGAGCGCTTTGAGACATGTCAGTATTATAGATGTTATAAAAAGGCACGTTTATTCATTATAATATCTTTGCATTTGATGTCGCACTTATTAGGTCGAAACAAATCAAAGTGCTTTCCAGGGAATTGTTAAATGTAGTATTGTGCATTTGTGAATGAACACAGTAACCAACTTGCGCACTGCGGGTCCTGCAAACAGCCATAAGGTGAATAAGAAATTTGTCTGGACGATTGCTGGCCAGGACACTGGGAGAAACTCCCTTCTTTACTCCAACACTGTCATGGGATTTTTAACTTCCATCTGAGCAGGCAGACTGGACCTCAGGTTAACATCTCATCTAAAAGACAGCAACTCCCAACAATGCAGCAGTCCCACAGCATTGCACTAGATTGATTGTCAGTGTACACTATGAGCTCACATCCCAACGTGGGGGTTGAACCTACCACCTTCTAACCCAGAGACAAAAGTGCTGCCAACAGAGCCAAGCTGACACCTGACATTCATTCATCTAGAAAATGAGATGAAAACTTGGCCAGTTTATCAATAATTCTCTTTGTAACTTTTTGTCAACAGGATACAACAACAATAGAAAGAATGGCAAATTGTTTTGATGACTTGTAAGTATTGAAGACCAACTGAATTAAACAACAACAACAAAATTCCCCCCATACCCTTAATGGCCCCGTTGATTTCTTTTTAAGACATTTTTCACCACTCCAACCCCCCCTCAGTTCCTACTCTGTGGCTGTAAAGGAGTAGAATTTATTTTATTCACTTTCCAGTTCCTATCACACAAATTAATATGAAGAGATTTTTTGGCAGACTATTCCCAGAAAATAAGTCATACACTACATTACGCCAAATGCATATTGTGGGAAACCACTGGAGCAAGTAAATGTCAGATTAAAGATTTCACATTGTTTCTTAATTCAAAACGCATTTCGGTTGCTATTGAAAACAGTTGACGATGCTAAGTTGATTTCCTTAAATGCGTAAATTGTTTGAAATGCCCAAGAAATGTTACGAATTTTGAAAACCCACCATCCCAAACTGTAAGCTCGACTATAAATAATGTAGAAATATTGTGAAATGAAAGAGACAATTACTGTTTTAAATTCTAATGTTCAGTACACGGACAGGCGCTGACTCTCTACACGCCTGGTGCTTTGCAAGGATTTAATTTCAAACACGTAATGAGTCGGGAGCCAACAGCGCTACATCAGTCAAGCTATTGTTCTTATCTGACTGCAATACTCGATGGGAATGCTGCCTCTTTCTAATGCCGTTATCTGCAGATCGAAGCCCACTAAGCCGTGGCAGCAGACCTTCTCAGAAGTGTTTGGCACTCGTTGGAAGATCCTGTGGTTTATTCCATTCAGGCAAAGGCAACCACTGCGGGCCTCCCACCACCTCGCCAATCATATTTAGCAGATGGAAGCTGAAGAGATGAATCCTCCTTTGTGGATGTACCTAGCAGGCCTCCCAGTAATAGTCCCATACCCATGTTAGACTTGAAACTTAACAGTCTCTCCTAGCAACAATATTGGGCTCCAAGTGGCAGTCTTATAAAGGTTCCCTATATGTTTAATGGCTTGTGCAGGCCTTATTTCAGGACTACTCAATGCACATGAAATACTACACTTGAAATGCTTTCAAAGTGCTACATTTTACTGAGAATCACTTGCATCAAACTAATTATCAATGTAATCATTTTACTGCTGGGTAGTGTAGGGATTTTCACCATATAAAACTGGACGACTTTTGGCTGTTTTCTGCCTGATTTGTACACAAGGAGTTAACAGAATGGCTATTTTAAACAAAACTACTGCAGTGACTGTCCTGCATTTTGTTTGGGAGATTTGGTGAAATCAGCATTTCTGAAATGCTGATGTTTGTGCTTAGCATATTTAGACAGACCTGGTTTTGTGAAAATGGCAGTCTTGCAATTTATTGTTGATGAATTTGTGAACTGTCCATGTTTTAATCAAAGGGGGAAAAAAAGATGCTGGATCAAGCTGCAGCAAAACTAACACACAGAGAAAAGCACAATTGTGAGGTCTGGTGCAAACATTCCAATCTACTGCTGCAGTTCTGTATAAAAAGACAAGGTGCAGTGGATGCTTTGTTCTGGGTTTGTTAAAAATCAATTGTCCTTCCCGAATAACTTTCTTCACATTGTTTAAAAAAAGATATCCACTGATGTAAGCACCTTTCCCTGTCAGTGATTGATATATTTTAATGTTCTTTTTGCATTTCCTCTCTTTAACTCATTCAACGTGAATTGTTTGGTTTTATACCAGATGCTGACATGGTTAGGTCTTTTTCTGTTATTCCTGAACATTCCCACATAACCTCAGCTACCTTTTTGCTTTAAATGTAAGCCAAATGGAAAGAGTTGATCAGTTGCGATCTGACAGCTGGAAATGTGGAAACACTGTTGGAAGGGATCATGGCATGTCAGCTGTGCCAGGCTTTATTTGCTACAGTAAAGCAAATTTGGCAGTCCAGTGTGGATCGGTTTACAGGGTCAGCATTTCAAAGTGAGAATGTTATATATACCAAGTGCCTATGATTTGATGACTTTTATTGTGACAGAACGTTTCAGCTTTTTCAGACCAGTTCAGGAACCAAAGATACTATGTAGCTGATGGGACAAGATCTAATAATAATATAATTATAATTGTGATTTATTTGTTAAATATTTATTGCAATAAATTTGTTGTACTCCGATTTGTTCTAGCGCAGAGTAATCCTAATCCTTTGTTGTGACTATTGCGTGTTGAGTTGCATTGTGAGAATTGTAATAATTCTTTGTCTGCATTCCCATGTTTTTGTTTGAGAATATCCTAATGTACAGTGCACCTCGTTGTTCCATATACTGCAGAAGGGACTTGCGACCTCGACACCTCCCTGTCTGTCGTGAACTCTTGGTAATTCAACAAGGAAGAACTTTCAGCTGGGTGTAGATGTACTCTCTAAAACATTTTTTATAAAAAAACTGGCTTCAAAGTTAAGACTGAATTCAACAATTTGCCAATTTCTGCATTTTCTGAAATGTTAAGAAAATAGCATCCATCTTTAACCCCTCACCATCTCTCCCACCCCCCACCGGTGGAATTTCTCCCTCCCCATCCCCAAAAGAGGAACCGAGTGCCTATCATTTGGTGGTGGGAAACAACAAAAATTGTTATTAATGACGATGTGCCAGGATTGCTCTAGGAACTTTGGTGCTTTTTGTTCCATGTTTAAAGTAACCCAATGAGGACCAAAAGTACCTGACTGATTTCTTGCTTTGTACCTTTGAGCTGAATGGGGCAGTGAAATATGTCCCTCAAGACGATTTACCGGGAACGCGGTGACCCATTCGATGATTTGATTACATTGTCGCTTCATCCTTATCATCTATTGCACAAAACAAAAGTAAGAGTCCCAATGCAGTCGTGCGCATTGCAGCAGGTTATTTGTATGCTGTAACACCAACATGGCGGTGTTGCATTGACATTGTTGGGCAGCCCAGTTACTGACTTGGCCAGGGATGGAGCTGCCTGTTGAAGGGATAATAACCCTTTAATATTTCTGTTGCTAAACTATTGTGGCAACCCCCACCCGCCCCACCGAAGACAATATTCACAGTGCAGGGTTTGCAGTGTGTGATCGACAATCATGTTCTGAGAATTTAACCTTGACATGGATGAGTAAATGTAAATGAAGCAATGTTGGGTGGATTATCATTTGGCATCACTCGGCAGTATGTAACCACAACAACAAGTGGTTTGAGGATCACAAAAGCTGACTGTAGAAAGCTTTTATAAATAACAAATAGCCACGAGTCCCAAACCTTTTTTTTACAGGGGTACAAACAAAACTTAAACCTTTCCAATAAATCCACTATAATATTTTATTGCTTGGTTTTAATGATGCAGGTCTGTTTTGCTGTAAGTACGAAATTAGTTTGTATTTTGGATTGTGAGGTGTGTTTTTTTTCGCGGAAGCTGAATATCGTTTGTGGAACACACTGTTACAGTTTGACCATCATTGCCAACTGAAGTGCTTTCATGAATCAGCCACTTTGAGCTTGTAGTTGTGTGGGTTATAGATGTGTGAGTTTGTATGCACAATATTACACTGAAATCAATGAGCAAATGATAACAAAATATTGTACTAAATTATAGATGTTTTGGCGACTTAATAAGGCTCTATATCAAATGCAAGGATTATTAGTTATAACCCACCTTCTTACTAGTTGTATTTGTTGTTGTACCTCCAGGCTCAATTATTCCAAAGCCCTATTCACTGGACTCCCCAATTCCTCTCTACACAGGATGCAGACCATTCAGAACTCTGCACCGAGTGTTCTCTCCCGCACAACGCTCCACCTGCCGATCACCCTCATACTCTGTAGCTCAGTGGTTAGAGCACTCGCTTTGCAAGCAAGAGACCTGAGTTCAATTCCAGGCAGGGCAAAACCTTGGGCAAGTTTCCTTACTCCACACGCCTAATAATAATCCCTCCAAAAAAACAAAAACAATAATAAATTGGTCACTTTCAATCCATGACTGTTTGTGGGACATTGCTGTGTGTAATTGGCTGCCGCGTTCGCCCACAAATATACAGTCAATTCACTTTACAGTATATTCTGTGAAGCGCTTTGGGATATCTAGAAGACGTGAAAAGCGCTATACCAAATGCAAGGATTATTATTATTATTATTATTCTTACTCGTCCGATCCGTTGGTTCCCCATTCCTCTGCAGATTGAATTAAAGATCCTTGACCGGGCATTCAAATCCTTTACGGTCGTGTCCCATTTTTCTTCTTTGACCCCTTGAATCCCTAATGACCTGGCCGCTCCCTAAACTCAGCTTAACAATGCCCTGCTTCGTGTCCACCGGATTGATCTGCCCCACCATTGTGGGGGGAACAGGGCAAGCTTTCAGCCATTCTGCCATGTTCTCTGGAACATCTTCCCTGTGTCTCTCCACCTCACCCTCTCTCTCTCCACCTTTGAAGCCCTCGTTGAAATCTATCTTTTGGAATTACAAGACTATGCTTTGTGTTAGTCATTGTAGTTACTGTTACAGCTGAACATCAAATTATGCAAGATCTATACCTAGGGCATCATACAATTTCTTCAGTATTAAATGACAGATAATTGCCTTGAGTAACCAGATACCTTACCAGTAATATCGAATTGTGGCTGCTACAGTCATAAGGCTGGGAGTTTATTAAGTCACACAGATCTGTTGGTTTACAAAATGCAAGTAGTTAGCGGTTTAGATCAATCTCCAGGCAGGGCATACTGCCTAGCGATAAAACTAGAAAGGCACTGTAGAATGAAAAGAGACCGTTGTATTGAAGGTAGAGCTTTTCTGGCAATGGGTTGTGTTTCGTGGAACACATTTTAGTGTTGTACTTGTTTACAGGTACAAAAGATGTGATTCATTTATATGAAGATCTATCTGGACAGTTTAACGAAAAGATAGAAATCCTGTATTCAGTTATACCAATTCAGAAAAATAATTGAACAGCAATGGCATTGCAAAACCAGGTTAGTCTGCATTTTGCAATGCTAGGGCATTGGGCAATAGCATTTTTCTGCATAAACCTCTATGACCGCACCCCCCACCCCCACACTTCTTTCCTCACTACCCCTCCCAAACGTGAATTGATTATTCCTTGCTTTATCACTTAAACCTTACACTGAATGTATTGTGGTAAGTTGATGCTGATAATTGACAATTAACACATGTAAGTGAACAGAGTGTTGGCTTGCTTTATAAGGAGAAATGTCTGCCAAGGACCTCAGTGGTAATAAGGTCAATCCTGGACGGGAAGAAATTATACTGAATATTTGACTGTGTAAATTCTGTATTTTACATCCAAAAGATACTGTAAAGTGACAACCAAATTTTGTATTGTTTTATTCACCAAAATAAATTGTGTCTCGTGTACTCTACATTTGAAGTATCTTTCAATGGAAAGTTGATGATTTTGTGTTATGTATGAAAATTAATGGCTGTTTTTATTTTTGAAATAAAAAAATGGTGGTTTATCACTGATGATTGTGTTGCACAAAAGATACTATATACTATATTTTCATGAATTAATGAACAATTTTATTGCACTTAATTGAGAAGTGATCTATGATGGCTAAGTATGAAATGTCTGTTGTTAAGAGTGCGAGGTCCTTAAATTGTTAATAACAAATTTGCCCCATATGCAATCTCTTCCAGTACTATTCTTGTCCAGTATCTTATGCTCTACTGATTCTGGTCTATATCTTGTTCTTCATTCCCTTTGTCCCGCTATTGGTAGCCGAGTTTTCAGTTACCATGCCCCACTCACAAGAATTTTCTGCCAAAACCCCTCCTCTGCCTTACGTCTACCATCTCCATCTTCAAAACACAAGTAAACATTCATCTTTTACCTTTAGCAAGCGCCATTATTGCATTCCTGCAGATTGTCATTCCAGTTGTGGCCACCATATTGCCACAATACGTAGGAGCACTGGAGAATATTCTCCGAACATTAGCCTAGTTTAAGGTATTAATACTTGAACAAGAAATTGGGGAAAGAAATCATAATAATGTATCAGAAGTAGGCGGTTAGGATTTTTTTAGGTAAATGAGCCTCAATGGATAACTTTTTCAAAGAACCAGTACAGACACGATGGATCAAATGACCTTCTTTGCTGTAACCTCCTATGGTACTGATGCAGACAAACATTCTTGTTTAGGAACATCAGAGAACCAAGGAACACAATTATTTATAAGATCAATTGAAATCGTGATCCTGGACACTACTTCTGTAATGTCTTCTCAGTTGGTGTTTCCAAACCAACAGAAAAATTGCCAACTCTGGGAAAGCATTCCAAAAGTAGCTGGACAGATTTTTTTCTTAAATACACTGAAGTGCTAGGGGCCTAAAGGATTGACAATAAAGTAGGAGAGAGAGAAAATGATCCACCCGTTGGGTGCAGCATTAAACCGAGGCTCTGTCTATCTGTTTAGGTGGACGGAACTATTTGAAAAGAGAAGGGAGTTTCTCTGCCAGTGTCCTGGCCAATAATCCCCCAAATAAAATTGACCATTGTGGCTACATTGCTGGGTGCAATTTGGCTGCAGTGTTTGCCCACAAAACACAGTCAATAAACTTTCCAGTATATCCTGTGAAGTGCTTTGGATCGTCGTCCTGATATGAAAGGAGCTATACTGAATGTAAGCATTATTATTGTTATTATCTGTTGAGAATTGGAATGTAAACCCATAAACAGGCAAACTTGGTGGTTTGAAATGGTCTACCTCCTTATTATCTTTCATGTACAGGTAGGTAGGACAACCAGAGGCATCAGAAATGGAACCAACAAAATTCAGAGGTGATCATGCTACCAAATGAGCAAAACTGACACCTTTGGCAATGTATTAAGAAAATATCAGAAACTTAGTACAAGAGTGTCGGACAAGCACACAAACAGGTACAGCCCCCTGTGGTGTCAAGACGTATTCTGGGAGCATGTGCAATGTCTGCCGAGCCTGAAAGGTACCCTGTGGTGTATGATGATTGTGTGCCAGAAAACATCACCCTGCCATCATCTGCATCCTACTGGTGAATTCACATGAATTCTCCTTTTAAAATATCAGGATAAAGTTTGCAGCCTTTGTTAACTATTGCTGGTGTTAACTATGGGCCACTAGATGGCAGCACACCCCTCCAAGTAAGATCCCAGTGTCCACCTTTCATTTAGAAGCAAATATTTTGTTGTTTTATAAATTGTTGGTTTGATAATAATAATAATAATCCTTGCATTTGATATAGCGCTTTTCACGTCGGGAGGACGTCCCAAAGCGCTTCACAGAACACACTGTAAAGTGAATTGACTGTATATTTGTGGGCGAACGCGGCAGCCAATTGCGCACAGCAATGTCCCACAAACAGTCATGGATTGAAAATGACCAATTTATTATTGTTTTGTTTTTTTGGAGGGATTATTATTATATGA